AAACCCTTTTCATCGGGTTTATTATTCTACGAATTTTTTTTACAGTGTTCTGAGTGGTGCCTATTGACGCTGAGTCATGTCGTTCCCATCGCGTTCGTAAACTGATATAAAACATGCCTGTATTCGTTTTTTATTTTTTCCACGACTTCCTCTTCTTCACAGACGCGTACCACTATTCAAATACTTAATAAATGGAAAAAATAACTGGTAAAGGTCGATGTATCACACGTGGCAAAGAAAAAAATGCAGTTAGATGTGAAGGTTGTTTATAACTATTTTGTTATAATCATTTAACTGATCATCGACAGAGGGTTGGACAACTTTTCGATCGGTGACAAAAATGAATATTTTAAGCAGAATTGAATCGTTCAGGTCAAAAATACCCTGTCTTAAAAGAGTAACTTAGACGAACGAAACAACACATGAAAAATGGAAATCCATAGAAAAAATGCAACTTTTCATAAGAAAAATGACTAATAAAAAAATGTTTGGATCATGTATCTATGAGAAAAGTACTTCAGTTAAAGTTTACTTATATATATACCTTTTCAGCAGAAAAATGAAATTTCATAGGAAAAAAGCTAACTTTTCATAGGAAAGATGACTAAGAAAAAAATGTTTGAATCATTTTTCTATGAGAAAAATACTTCAGCTGAAGTTTATTTATATATATACATTCTCAGTAGAAAAAACAAAATCCATAAAAGAAATGTGACTTTTCATAGGAAAAATGACTAATAAAAAAAAATTTGAATCATTTTTCTATGAGAAAAATACTTCAGCTGGATGGGTGGGTGTGGGTGTGAATGTGGATGTGGGTGTGGGTTTGGGTGTGGGTGTGGATGTGGGTGTGGGTGTGAGTAAAGAGAAGAACTATAACCATACCTACATCCACACCCTAGTAGTGATTGATGAGCTATACTAGGATAAATAACACAATGAATACCAAATTTAAAACAATTTCCGGTAAGAATATACTTGCTTCTTCGCCAAGCCAAATAACATCAATATTAGATTGTTCAGGTTGAGAATTGTTTGGTTCATCAATCGATTTATTTTCACGTTGATCTTTCAATTGAAGACTATCACATGTTGGGAGTATACTTAATGAAAAAAGATCAGGATCATGATGTAGTACGTAATTAACTTCATCTATATTATAACCAATTTCAGGCATTTCTTTAGGTCCCGTTTTTTCATTGAATTAATGAACAATATCAAGCATTGCAAGATCAGATAATTCTATTTGTTTTGATGGTTTATGATTTAATACAGCTAATTTTATAATTATTGGTTTTAAGCGATAAATTGAATCACTGATTAATTGACTAACATGTTGTAATGTTGCATCTATATTCATTGGAAAGGTATACTGAGAATCAATACTATTTTATTGATCAGTTAATATTTTAATACTTTATGACTAATAAGTGATTAACCAAATGCATCTGATGATAAATAACGAGATTTTTCTCCGTGATTTAGTGCAAAAAACTTTGAAAGAAATTGATTAATATGATTCAACTATGGGTGTGAGTATGTGCGTATTGAGAGAAGTGTCTTATCAACATTGGCACCCACACGCATACGCTCACATCGACACTCCACACCTAAACTAATCCCGATCATCGTATTTGCTAAATTAATTCGCAAGAAATACCTGCAATATATTTCAATGTATATAGGCTACAAGAGCAAACATTTTTGTACAAAACCTACAGCCAGACAACAATTTCACAGTAATGTTAATGACACGGTGCAGGAATCTTTTACGGGGACTAGTTGGTCTCGTGCACATCTCTAGAGTTAGGACCAGAATTCTGTACACTTAGAAATTTTGTCTCAATTTTTGTTCAAGAATAGTGAAATCATGTTTGAAAACCTCAAAAAAACATAGTTTCGACGCAGTTTATGCGTCGACATTTTTGCTGAACATTTTTGTTCATTTTAACCTTCTTGAGAATATTTCAAACGAGCCAAAAATAACAAGTCTTAACCAAAAATTTGCGCTATCTTTTAAATAAATGTTGTTTTCATTTTTGTTCAAGAGTGACGAGAGACTTTTTGAAAGACCAGAAAATTTATTTTCAATATTTAAGCCAATAAGTTTTTATTTACTCCATAAGGCCCTTTTCAAACATTTTAAAAATTGTCAGAATCGGTCATGTTGTAGAATGGACATTTCTCTACTAAACGCACTATTGAACTAAGTTGTAATTTTTATTCATGTGAGACCAGAAGTGTTTTTCCCAAAGCTTTTTTCAAAGTAAAACGGTTGCTGATTTTGGTATGCGTGTAGCTGTAGCTGTGAATGTTGATCTTTCCATTATCCACATCAACGTGCATACACACCCACACTCCAGATTCTCAACGAATTATGAAGATTTTCTGAATAATAATAGATTGTATTTTCGTAATTGTTTTGCTAAAAATCAAATTTTATCTAATTTTTTGACCATTTTTTCTTACATGTATATTTCTTAACCTCAAATAATAACAAATCTCAGGGGCTTGGGTTAGCTTCAGTTCGCACACGCACACGCACACTCCCATTCACACCATCAAGTGACTTTTCATGATATACAAGTTCTTCAGAATACTTTTTCATCATGTTATGTATGTATCCACTGTTGTTGTATGAATTAGCTATATTAGAATACTTTAGTGGTAGAATTTTTCGGTTGGTATCAAAGACTTTTCTTGAAAAAAAAAAAGTGTTTTCGCATAATCTCTCAAGTCGATGTACAACAAACCGAAATTTTTGTCGAAGCGAACCAAATCGGATTGATTTGAAGTTGATATGTCTTGATAAATTGTGATAGATATTAAGAATTTTCGAAAGAGTTAACGGTCAAATCGACTTTATATGTATCAATGACATCGTGAAAGTATTCTGAAAGAAGTTTTATTTTATCTAAACTTGTTTTCGCTGATATCACGTATTACAAAATATGTAATATAGATGATCATGACGTTAAAGTCAGTAACTTGTTTTGTTGACTTGAGCAGAACAAAAATGAAGAACAATGTAAAGATGAAAAGAAACGAACATGAGTCGACCCAAGTTGGAAGAGAAGATACATATTACATATAGATATATATGCATGTCTATGATAACTCATCGGAAAGAAATTTAAGAACAGAAAGAAAAATAATGTATAAGAATAAAATGTGTTATCATATCACGGCAAGTGAGAATAAATCGAACAATAAAACATTCAGCCATTAACTTTTTTTTGCCTTACAATAGTCTCGTCTTTTGTTGTTTTTTTTGTTTTTAATCACAAACCATAACTATATAAATAAATATAGATAACAAATAAATATCATTTCAAAATACAATTGCCTTCTTGAATATTCGGTAAGTAGAAAACCATTGAAATTTTCAATATTTGTCGAATATTCACTTATTATAATATTTTAATTATACAATAGAATATTTGGTTTGTTTTCATATGTTTAACAATTATTTTCTTATTGAAAATTTTTGCTTCGTCATTCGTGAAGCTTTTTCTTACAACATGTTGAAAGCAAAAAGAAATGTCAGAAGATAGTTTAATAAATCCCTATTATTTTAATGCAGTGCTTGTCAATGAGCTTCTAATAATCATTATTGAATATTTAAAAAAAAATATTTTTAATCGACAAAAATTTTCTACTAAAGAAAATATAGAAAAATGTAAGGAATGATTTATTGAAACTATCTAGAAAATATTCGTTTTAGATAATACAGAATATGATCTTTCTGAAAATAAAATCATTCAAAGAATTAGAAATTTAAAAGCAAATTTTTAAAAATCATCAATTAATATTTTAAATATTTTAGAATTTGTAGTGTCGAGAATTTATCAAAAACTTTTGTTTTGTATTCATACAATTGAAAATAATAGAAATAATTTTTGATGAAAAATAACGAGAAAATTTAAAAATTCATTCTATATTAGATTTTATGTTTGAAATTTTTAAACGAATTTCTTTAAATCTATTTGATTTTTTCAAACAAAGATAAATAAAAATTTTGAAATTTTTGAAGATAAATTACAATATACAATAGTTTAAAACCTGTCCGAGAAAATTATTATAGATACTCAAGATGAATATCTCGAATGTATAAAAATAATTTAAGTCTATTTTTGAAAATTATCGCCTAATTTCCAATCAATTTTTATGTTTCTATTTTTTATGAAAAGTTCGTACAGTTATTGAAGAATTTTCTAGAAATCGAAAAGATTTTTTCTAATGTAAACATCTTAAACAGATATTAGAATATGGAAAAAGCGAAAATATAATATAGCTATGAGTACCATGACTGAAAAAAGTTTGTGTTATTATGCTTTTTATTGAAAGTTTTCTCAAAGTAGAAAATTCTTGAAAAGAATTTCATCAAATATTTCAATATCTTTTACTATATTGTTATGAACTACATCATATAGAAGACATTAATAAGAAATTAAAGGTAAATATTTATAATCAAATTTATCATCAAAATTTAATTTAAAAAAAGAATCAATGTGATGAAACGATTAAAATAGAATTCGAAATTATCGAACATGATTGTTTTACAGAGTGGGTACTTCTTTACAAAATATGATATTGAATTAAGTTGTAGGTTGTTTTGCACAAGTGAAGTTCTATGTATTTTGTCAGGAACTCCTCTTTGTGTAAAACATCTTTTGATCAAAAAGTAGATTTCTCATAACTGAGGGTGTAGGAAAAACGAAAATTGAAATGTCTGACCTAATGATTAAAAAAAAGAGCCAAATAGAATATTTTATAGGACAGATTTTGCTCTACGTGCTGATAGAGTAATAAAGATTCTAATTTTTAGTTACGAATCACAATAGTTAAAATACAAAAATGTGCAAAAAATTTCTCGTTCAAACTAACTTTTTAGGCCTTTCAAAGATTTTCTCATTACTTTCGCACAAAAAATGATATAAAATTTTTAAGCTCATATTCAGAAAGAACATAAAATTTTGATTCTAATCCATAGGTTTTGACTCATCTAAGATACTTTCGACTGGGTCAAAAATGAGCAAACATTTTATTCGAAAACTTTCAGTCTACCCATTATCTATATGAAGAGTCTTCCATCACTTCGATATAAATCTTTAATTGCTATTGAAGCTGTTGAACAATATTTACATGAATTTTTACTCAATTCTATTCGAGAAACTATTAAAAATAAAACAACGGATAATACATTAGCAATGAAAATTTTTTGTCTTATTGAGGTTCAAAGAATTTTGATTATAATAGAAAAAGATTTTTGAATATAAACAAGTTATTAGATTTTTGACTAGTCAACATATTAAAATACCATTAGAAGCCATGAGTTCTCTGCATATACAACTCGACAACAGTACACATAGTCATTTTGTATATTTACAAATTAAAATTGATAATTTAACTAAAATGTTACGTCGATTTTTCAATTAAAAAAAAAAGTTTTATCTGAATTCAGTGTAATTATATCGACTATGTTAAAATAATAGATTTGATCATTTATTTGAATAAAAAGTTTTTTCTACTAATAGCTAAATTAGAAAAGAAATTTTTAATTGTCTTAAACCACATAAAAATTTTGATGCTATTAAAGAAATTATTTGATATTATACGAAAGTGTGAAAATTTTCTACAAAATAATGATAACAAAGGCTAATATTGAAATTAATCAATGCTTACGACAGTATATCATTGATATAATAGAAGAATATATATCGAGTTTATTAGCTTTTTGTCATAATACTGTGGTAGTTTTTAATCATTTTAAAACAAATTTTTATCAACTTATTAAGCAATTAAAAATATACAATTGAGACTTTCAATAGCTCAGTAATGAGATAAATTATTGAAACCCTGTGATTATTCGAACGAAAGCTATCATGATTATTCAAATATGTATATATATATGTTAGAATTGACATGAAAACTTTAGTTGAGATTAGAATGCGCAAAATAATTTTAAAAAAAACAAAAGAATAGAAAATAAATAAAAGCTTTTTGAATTATTACAACTTTTCCTTCGACTAAAAGGATAGAGTCTAGAAACGGGAATTCATCTGTGTGGGTGTGATCCTATCTTGGTCTTTGTCCACATCCATCTCTTTCATGTCCTATTTCGAATAAAATAGTGTGATATATTTTAATCTTTAGTACAAAACTTCATTATCCATTCATGAATTAAATTTTTTTGAGGCGTTCCTCCTTTTTTCGGCAGTTGCTGTAGTTCGTTACTGGAATTTCAGTATACATTAGGTATCTTCATGTTCTTCCGGCATGATTATCAGATCTAATTGACAATGTTGTTTCAATTAAATTGAAAAAAAAATGTCCTCATTGTTTATTTAAATCAGAATATGCTACTCTTTATAATTTAAAAGTATTTCCTAGAGTTTACATTGTATTTATTTAAGAGTGGTAATGAAGCGAAGAAATTCAATGATTCCCGGCACTTGGAATAGTTAAGATCGGTCTGAAATCCAAGGATTTCAAGGATTCCATCGCATTTTGTTCGATCTAGATGGGGTGTGGGTGTGGATGTGGATGTCAGTAGTTGAATCATTCGCGTCCACAAACACCCACTCTCACACACCGCCATCCACACTCACACCCACACCCACATACACACCCGCACACACCACACATCCACACACACCCCACACCCACACTCACACCTTCAATCAATCGATCCAGAAACATCTGAAAAATAAAGAGGAATAATCTTGAAACACTCTCAGTTTTTCCTATTTATTATTTCATATTCTCAAGGAGTGTCTTAACAAGCCGATCAAGATCACTCATGTTAACTGAATTATATGAATCCGTATTTAGGTACCGCTTGATGCGCATTTGAGTAGCTAAGTTGTTTCGAAATGGAGAATTGATTATGTAAACGGGTACAGTGACATTCCATTCGCGTAACAACTGCATAGTACCTATTGCGCCAAGAGCATCGAATGGCACAAGTATCAAGCCAATCACATGTTGCATGATATCGAATGCGGTGAGCAGCGTTGGAATGTTGCCCCAAATGATGTCTCCGCCCAACTCGCTCACAATTATGTCTGGTTGCTGATCGTTAGCTTTTGTCAACAGCGTTCGAATTCCAATTATATATTTTTCCGGTGAAATGTATGTTGAAGGAAGTCCTACATCAGGAAAGTCGAGTGTAATTTCAGCACCCGCATCACGATGCTGCAGCGTATCTTCCAAACAGCCAGTACCCGATAGCTTTGTGCCCGCTACTTTTAGACCATGATCATACACTAACCGCTGAATGATATTAGCCGTAACTGTGGTCTTTCCCACATCGGTAGCCGTACCAGCAACTAACAAAATAGGTTTTGATTGACTTAATTTTCCACATACATAGCTTATTGAATCTTGTGTATTTATCGGAAGACCATTGCGCTTCAGTAGACCCAAGCAACGAAATACTGACGGTGGTCCCATATAGGTAATCCACCATCAGGTAAGCCGCCAACTAAATACTTGCTGGATTCGCGATTGCCCAACACGGCAATAAACCGCTGTCGCTTGTAAACACGCATACCATAACCGTTTAAATCTTCCATCTCCTTATAAGCACCGGTATCGCTCATTGCTTCAACCAGCACAAGATCACCTTCCTGGCCGACCCCAGCTTCAATGCTAATGCTATCATCATCACCAGGTGATAGTCTAAATCGTGTGTCTGACGCAATACCTTGAATAGGTGCAAATGACTTAAGTGTGCGTTGTTGAGCCATTCTCTAAACAGTTTTTTGTCGATTGTGTTTCCAAACAGTATACTTTCGTGATACTTCTTCGGTCGATAGCACAATAATTTTGTGGTATACTTCGAATGTTAATATTTATATGCGTCTCTTGTCCCGCTATTTCTACAAAAGAATATGAGTAAGATGTTGGAAAATTTCCCCGCTTTCTCTCCTTTTTCCAATAGAAAACGTAGAGGGGCACTTATATTCATATATCGTAAACAACCTCTCTCTTTCATACGACTACGAAAGGAAGTGACTTCGGCGCTGTTATCCTTAAAGTACCACTATTCTTTTAGAGAAAAAGTGGATAAAGGTGTCGATGTCCACCAGTAACTTTGTTCCTTTCTACTGGTAGAAACCAAGTTGAATTACGTGTTGAAAATCACGAAGAAGGGTGTGGGTCTTGTCTTTCCTCACATCTGCATCCACACCTTTGTTTACTTATTAAAATAATCATTAAAATAGTAGACAATATTAAGAATATGTATAGTGTGTTCAGGAAGTCATCTACCAAAAATTAAATTTCAATATTTTCACCATATTTTAACTAAATGAGCTAATCTCTTTTCCTGATGACGAAGAAGAATTTCGAGTTTTTTTAATACATGAAAAGTTTTATAACATTGATCTTACTTTGTAGCTAAAAGAGAAAATTTTACAGTTTTTGCTAAAGATAAAACGATAGATTTTTGATTTCTGTAATATATGCGAGTTTCTTATGCTATTAAATTGCTTAATTTGTTAAACATTTTATTTGCAATATTTGATTTTTCGCTTACAGCGAAATCTTTTCAACTACTTTCTTCTGATTTCAATGATTTTTCACCTATAAATATTACATAGTATTCTAATGATAACTCTAAAGGGATTTGAGTTTGACTAAGCTATTGAATATTTTTCTAGAGATTCCAGTTTTTCAGAACACTCGTATTTTCAAATTTTCATCTGAAACTTTGTGCATATAGGGAACTCGACTAGACTGGCTTCCATAAAAAAATTTAGAAGTTTTGAACAAAGTCTCGTCGAAATAGTAAGCTTTCAAAAAATGCATGTTATACGTGCTATCTATGGAAAAAGGAAAGCCTCATATCTCGAAGAGATTTTGTACAAAACTTCGGAATTCTTTTAACAAAAATTTTCTAGTTGAGTTCTCTGTATGCACAAATTTTCCGATCAAAATTCGAAAATACGAGTTTTCCGAAAACCTGGGACTCTAGAAAAGAATTTTGATAGCTTAGTGAAACGTAAATTCTTTAGGGTTTTTATTAGAACACTATGCATTATCTATAGGCGAAAGATCACTGAAGTCGGCAAAGGTTGCCTCATTAGTTTATCTCACGAGTCACAGGAATTTGTACTTAATTATAAAAACACAAAGTCTATTTTGATCGACAAATACCGTCCCTTGAGTCAAATTATTGGAAAATATTGAATAGCTCACGAATTTCAGAATAATTTTACGTTTTTCCAGTAATTTGATCCTAGCATCGTTATCTGTTGATGAAAATAGAAATAGTTTTTTTTTACAAAAATGAACATCAAAACAAAGTTCTACAAAATGGACTATGCCAAAAAGTTTTTGGACGCATTTGTATGTTTTTTTTTGGTAGACTGCTGATGGAAGTAATCAGAAAAGAATCCGGTCAAGTTCTATATTAATACAGACCGTGCTAGTGCTTTTTTTTTCTGTTTGGTGGATGATGCTCGCTAGAGTCTATTGGGTTCAAAATTTTCAGACTCGGTCGAGTTGTAATTTAAAGCTCTTAATGAGAAATAATTGCTCCGAAGATACAAGATTTTTTTTCTTCGATTTTTTGTATTCGATGACTAGCGCACCCTACATAGTTCTTAGACGCCTAAAGCCTGTTGGTTCCAAAGTTTTCCTACCCGAACTCAACTTTACGAGCACTTTGTAATTTTAGAAATATTCGTTTAGTTTGAGTATGAATGTCATTTATGAAATTTTGTTTATATTATGAATAACTTAAAATAATTTTAATTTCTTAGATCGTTTTAAACTTATTTTCGTAAAGATTTGTACCATTTTTTCCAAGCGTGATTCATACTAAGGACTCAAGAGAAAAGAAAGAAAAAAAGAAACATACCGTATTTTGATGGTCGAGAAGAAAAATATATATTTTTTAATAACGCCTTGCAATAAAATAGCATATTTTGCACCAATTACAAAGGAAAGGAAAAAAGAAAAAAAATGCTTATCACATTTATTTAATAGCCAGACATAATATTCCTATTTTCCACATAAATACAAAAAACAACTCCATCTATCTCTCTCACAAAAATAGCAACATACAATCGATAAATAATCAAATTTGAGTAGAAATAAAAAAGCCTATATCTTTTAAGCATGCAAGCCAATTTTATGTATATTTCTAAAGAAGTAATATCTAAATCTAATAGAAATATTCCATCTCTTGTTACATTACCTGTCGAACTTGTCTATTGTATTCTCGACAGTCTCGATATGTTAACAATACTCTTATCATTCCGCAATGTTTGTACAAGACTCAGTAACATTACGAATACTTATCATCGATATAAAGTAAGTTTCAGATTGGCTTTACAATTTGAAAATCATTCTCAATCTCCTGATTTATCAAGATGGAGATAATGAAAAAAGATAATTCATATTTTCTACAATTCAATGCTTTAAATCTTTATTTAATCTCTTATATAGACATTTACCATATTAGATCTTACTCATCATAAGCTCAATGAACAACAATTTCAATGTCTAGCCAATACCTTACGAAATAATAAAGTACGATAAGTATTCTATTCAAAAATATTATATTTATCTTTTTTGTTCTTTTTATATAGACATTAACAGAGATTCATCTTCGATGTAAGCAAATCGATAATCAAAAGACAAAAGATTTAACTGATGCATTAAAAACTGACACTGTAAGATTATTATATTTATTTCATTCTTATATTTATCATTCAATATTAGACACTCATAACATTAGTCCTTTCGAATAATGCAATAGGTACTGATGGTGTACAATATTTAGCTAATTTATTAAATAATAACAAAGTAAAACTAATTTTCTATTGATCAATCGAACATTTTATCTGTATGATTTAACATAGACACTAATGAAACTTGATCTTGGATGCAATAAAATTGGCTCTGAAGGTATACGATATATAGCTAATGTCTTACATAATAATCATGTAAGATAAATTTTCTTTTCTTCTATTTCATATCTACCTTTGAAATTCTTTCAGACATTGACCATTCTAAATCTTGAAATTAATAATATTGGTAATCAAGGTACACAATATCTAACAAATGCTTTAGAAAATAATACAGTATGAAAAGTTTGATTTATCAATTAAATATTTATTTCTATTCATCGATATAGACACTTACGATACTGATGCTTTCTAATAACTGTATCGACCATGAAGGTGCACAATATCTTGCTAATATGCTTTGCAAAAACAAAGTGAAATAAAGTTTCTATTTATTTATTTTTGTATTCATTCTAATTATTCTATATAGACATTATTAACATTGATCCTTTCTGATAATAGAATCGGTTCTCAAGGAGTAAAATATCTAGCTAATGCATTATGCAATAACAAAGTAATGAGATCAATTTTGTATTAATGAATCTTTTATCAATCTTTTTTTAAAGACGCTTACCAAATTGCATCTACGATTGAATAGAATTAATTCTGATGGAGCACAATATCTCGCTGAGGTTTTATATAATAACAATGTGAGATAAATTTTGTAGTGAGAGTAGTCTAAATATTTTTGTTTATTCAATCTAGACATTAACAGAACTTTATCTTGGATGGAATGATGTTGGTAACGAAGGAGTAAAATATTTAGCAAATGCATTATATAATAATCATGTAAGATATGTTTTTTTTTTCTATTGATTTATCTAATATTTTCCATAATCATTCTATACAGACACTTCATATTCTACATCTCGAATATAACAATATCGATTGTGTGGGAGCACAATATCTTGCTAATGCTTTACAGAAAAATAAAGTAAAATAAATATTCTATTGATTAATTTAATCATTTCATCTTTTTAGACATTAATACAACTTTATCTTGCATGTAATAAGATAAAAAATCAAGGTGCACAATATTTATTTAATATTTTGAAAAATAATCAAGTAAGTCTAATATTTTTAATGATTTATTCAATATTTATATTATTATCATCTTTTTCAAACAGACATTAACCATTATAAATATTCAATCAAACGAAATTGATTTCCATGATATTCAATATTTAACAGATACATTAGAAAAACAAAGAATTCAATTTTAATACAAATAACAAATAATGAAATATCATTACAATATTAAATTTTTGACAATGTTCAAAAAGAAAAATCAAATATATAATGAGACTACAAGAGAATTGATTATTACGATGTGATATGGCATAATATGTCGCCTATAATATAATTATATTTTATATTCGATTTATAATTCAAATGCACATTATATATTATTTTTATTCATTATGAACTTTTTTATTTTGCGTCTAACATGACATATTTTAATAGGACTTTCTCAATATTAAAAGCTCATATTTTCCAGAGAAAAAATACAATTTCCAGAATACTCAGATAATCCTACCTTCTTGAAAGCAGAACAAATTTTCTTTTTACGAATAAAATAAATTGAACAAAGAATTCTTAAATCTATAATTGATTTCATTAATAATAGCATGTATAGAGATATAAGCTAATTGGCTTAGTCGCCACTGCCAACGCTCCAGCCGTCGGAATATAAAAATTAATACTAAATTTTTGAAAATAACCGTCATCGAAAACTTTTAGCTGCTGAATAATGTATCGGCTTGCATATCTAAGCATGTATAAGGAGTGAAAATTGGGAGAATTTATAATAAAATTCATAGATCTAATTATAGAAAAAAAGTTTAATTGAATTATAAGACTTGTGCCTATGAACCTCTTTATCCTAGGTCTAC